TTGTTTTCCCTCCAGAACATTAGCATTTTTCTCCATTTCATTTCCATAAGTACTGTGTAGTTATTTCTTCCCAATTCAGGTCCTTGGATACAACAGATCAGTCTCTCAGACTTCAATGAAAAGGATGATTCGTGCCTTCAGCACAAGTCAAACAACGTCTAATGATGCTTTTTTTTTTTTCTCCCTGAAAGTATAGGTGGAGAATGCAGAAATTTAAGGGAAAGATTCCACCACTGATACCACCAAGAAGAAAGCTGAAACATGCAAACCACTAAGTACTTATTGTAAAGATATCTCTGTTGAATGAAAAGAGCATCCTTTCAAGAGCCTTAATAAACTAAAAAAAAAAAGACAAAAATGATTTGCAGTTTCCCAAAGAACACATTTCAATATTCATTCATCTTCAATATTACTTTATTCTTTATTATTATTATTATTCAATATTTATTACTTTCAAAAGTTTCAGTCACAATAGGTCTTGCAACTTGCCAGTGAAAAAGATATTGAACAAGGATGTCAGCTGATAATTGATGTTCATGCCAACCATCCCCAGACTTACGCAGTTGCTTAAGTTTACAGCAAGGACTTCCTTCATTTTCAGCTCTTTTTAAGACTTTGACAAAGTACTGAAATCCTGTGAGACCATTTTAGAGCACTTTACAGTGACATATGACACTTCATGCTTTCAAACAGGACCAGATCCACCTTCGATGATGTCTTTTGATAGAAAGCAGTTGTGTCACAAATTGTTGCTTTTTCCTTGATGAGTACTAGATCTTGGTTCCACATTTTGTTTTATTACATGCAAGATTACAAGCGTGCTCATATTTCAATTCAGACTAAAAACAGACCAAAACAAAAAACAAAAACCATCCTCACCCATATAAAAAAAAGCACCAGTCATCCTTTGAAATCAATTTCCTGCATTCAGATCACTCTAGTTTGACACCTATTTTTTTTTCTTTCTCATTTTTTCGTTTCTGAACAGGATGTAGAAACTCAGATACATTCCATTAAGTAGATTTCTGTAGTAGCCTGCACCACCAATTAACTCCATCCCACTCACTTTTAGTGGAAGAAGTACTTGTTCTCTTCTTCACCGAAAAGCCCTTTCCAAGTAGCAGAAGAATCCAAGAACAAAACCAGTTTTGAGCAACAGTGTCATTCTGCAACTTTCAGAACATCAGGATCGAAAGGTAATATAGAACAGACAGCACTGAGGGCAGTGACATGAAACTTTTCACCCCCTGCTCTTTGGGTTTTTCCTCCATTTCCAGTGTTAGAGGCATAAAAAGGAGATAAGAAGTCACTCCAGTAACTTTAGAGACAACTTGTGATACACACACCTATGGAACTTGTTCAATTAGCATCTGCCTTCCTACTGCCCTCAGTTCCTCTGAAACAGAAATCACATGCACAACTTTCCTTGTCAATGCCTCAGACCAGATTATTGCTCCTTATGGGCTTTTAAGGTGAGATGCATAAATAATAGTTCACTGATACTGCCTAATTACTCCCTTTGTTGTCAATCACATTCCGGAGACATTTGCATTTTATCTTCACCATAGTAAACATATGCAACTGAGGGCGCTTAGTTTCATGTCTGTTCAAAATTAAGAGAACAGAATTTTGAGATGTTCTGCTTGATATTCTCAAAACCTGCTCTTGGCACTGCCGTTCAGTTCAAAACAAAATATTTGAAGAGCATACACAGAGTATAAAATCTTGCCCTCTAAAGTTATGTCCAAGGACTTTTCTTTCTTTCGTTTTTTAAGACATCTTAATTCTAATTTAATGCCTAATATTAAATTAATTGATTATTCCCTTGCACATAATACTGATTATTTTATATCAAAGTTTAATACATATTCTGGAATTTACGTTTTGAAACAAGTCACTTGTAATTTATTAAATAATGCCTTTCCTTTAAAGAGAGGTGACCTCCCTAAAGGAAAGATGTGTCACAAGTCATAGTCAATTACATTTTAGTGTAACAGAAACACAGTCTACAAACAGTGATAAGCCAGCAACAGAAAAACTGGAGTAGAAAAGCTTCATAACCAGTCCCAAATGTCTAAGACACAAAAAAGCCTTTAAAACAACAGTTCCACACACTTGAAGCAGGAACTCACTCTCATGCCTTATTATCTTTCTTGGAGTTAGTCTTGCAAGCAGAGTTAGAGGGCTAAAATCCCAAACGTTTAATCAAAAAGCCACCTCAGGCTTGGAATAAATTTCACTGTGGTATACAGCTGTGAGGGAAGGAAAAAAATCTGAACTGCCACTCTTCAGACCTACTGTCGTCAGAAGGAACAGAGGGTTCTGAACACCTCGCAAGCCTGAGCCCCGCAGTTTAATATAATTACAATAGTAGCTTTACTCAGAAAACACACACAAAAAAAAAACCAACAACAATAACTGAATGTCTTCCTCATGTTTCCCTAGTGCATAAGTTCCCTGTTGCATGTTCTCTCCATTGCTTTGTCTAGGCCTCTAAAGCCATAGAAAGGCTGTTGCACCATTTCTCGGGGCATTTGTTCCCAAGTTTCAATGGGAAAGCAAATAAAAGGCAGAGAACTGGGGACTCAAACAGCAAAGGGCAATTCTTCCTCTTGTGAAACATCACAGCTTGAAATTATAATCAAATTGTCACACAAAAAGAAAAAAAAAGCAAACCTATAAATCACAGTACATGCAAAAATGCTTGATATTCTTAATGAACTTCTGATATCCCAATGAATTCATGAGGCAGTTTTAAGTCACTAAGACACTATGACACTTTGCCCACAGAACCAAGGAGGCTGTATGAACAATGTGGGAAAGAAGGATCAAGCATTAAGCCCGTCAATTTACAGGTGTGAGCTTGGTGCCTTCAGCGTTGTCAGCATCTCCTGCTAAACACACTGGGGTCTTGTCTTCACTGCCACAGCCTTGCTACTTTCTTGCAACCTTGGCTAACACCTGAGTGACTTCTGATTCTAGAAGTAAAAGAATGTAACATTCTCAACCTGCTGGAACTAGCTAACATACCAGATGCTCAAATCATTCTTTTGCACCAAGAGATTCTTCTATTTGTCCTGGCAACAACATGAGACTACAAAACCATCTGCTTTTCTTTCATGAGCATAAGTCTTCCCATAAGTCATCAAATCTGCTATTTCCCCAACCGATCCTAACATCTGGCATTTCCGGGCCTGATCAAATAGTGCAAACTGTCATTTACTGAACCCTGAAACAGAAAGACTAGCAGCGTTTATGCAATGTAGTGCCAATGGTCATTATTACTTAAAGAGCCTTTCATTTGTTCCGAGCACTGTTGGCATGCAGCGCGACCGTGCTGTGCAACATGCTGGAGGGCAGCAGCTAACTGCGCTGCTGGGGAAAAAGGAGAATGTAGTGGCCCAGTACAAAACTCCAGCTCATCCAGAGAACGCTATATGCTCACGAGTGCTTGCACAGAGCAGACAGACCTTGTCTGCTTTGGTGTTTCAAAGGGCTCGTCAGAAAGCTCGCAAGTAGCAGCAGCGTCTTCCCTACAACACACTTTAAAAGTCTTTCAACGTAAGCTGCCCTTGAGAGCTCAACATTGTGCTTTGCTTTCTCATTCATCCTTCCCGCTTTTATCAAGCAAGGATGACTAATGCGCTACTGTAATGCACTTTTCACAAGGGGAAAAAAAAAACCTGGCCAACTGAGGCTTCTTCCACCTCAGTGCCATGGGTGTTTAACATCAAAAAAGAGCCCTCCGCCGGGCAATGGGCGAGTCATTACACCGCACTTTAAAGCAACAGGCATCATACATAAACCATGCTCTCATGCAAATTTGACCTACATAATGTTGAAACCTTCTAACGATTTCACAAGTAATTCCAGCAGTAAAACTGGTGTTGCTTTAGTACCACGGGAAGTACCGCACTGGCCTCAAAGAGCTTCTCGTGGCATGTTTCAGCACTCTTGCTGCCCTTCCAGTTTCCTGCAGTTCGGCCAGCATATCTAAATCAGACGTCAGCCTCCTGGGAAGTAATGCAGCAATGCTTCAAGTCACCAAAATTATAACAAAAAAAAATCTAGACTAGAAATATGACTTCAAACATTTGACTTAGGATTGTTTGGGATTTTACTCCTTAAAGCCTACAGAACTGTTGAAATATTCATCTTAGGCCCTATGTTCAATGGTTTTGAAAGAGGCAAAGCCAAATGACACCTCCAGAATACAAGTAGTAGTAAGAGATTGGTGTGTTGCTATGAGAACATTTCAAATGATTCCTTGAAAACTGGACTCACAAGCACAATATAAAACGCTGATGATGGCCAGAGTATTTTAGATATGTTCTTTTCCAACAATTTTCAGTGAATTTAAATGCTTTTTTGAATGATGCCTTGATTTCTTTAGAACAAAACCTGCCAATTTTACTTTGATAGAAAATTTAGGAGGCCTTGCTGATATTAACACTTAGCTAATTTAATCCATTTTCACTTTGTCTTTTAATTTTTTTAGTCATTTTCAGCCCAGAACTACAAAATATAAGGACACAAAAAAACATATTCTTAAGATGAGCATCTATCCCAAATCCATCCAGTCTTTTCTGCCAAGCATGTAGGTCAATAACATTTGTTGTAGCACAAGTCTTTAGTTCACATTTTACAGTTAAAGGACTATTTCATGCTTCTACCAAATGAATCCTTGTTTCCCCTTTTCTTTTGCAGAAGGCCTACAGTTTCAAATTTTGCTCTAAAAATGAGCACATCTATGCAGAAAAGGACTCTACTTTTGACTGAAATTCATATGAGCCTCAGGTCACCTGCACAACAAGCTTATTAAAAGATCATTTTTGAATAGCAGTAATAGATATTAATGCACTGTCTGGCCACAGCAAATACAATCACTTTATTCATTTCTTCACGGAAAGCTTACATTTATTCATGCCTCATTAACCTAAAAATCCTTCTAGAATAGTTACTTTTTAAAGCACCAAGACAGTGAGTTAAAGTTTTCTTACCCTAATCAAAGCGATGAAATGCTTCTCTGAATCATTTTATTTTGCAGTATATGCCTCCACCCTATAAGGATGCCTTATGAATATTCTTCCTTATAAGAAGAAAAAAAAAAATGGAATAAAAATTTTTAATTGGATTGACTAGTCTCTTGGACACAAACCAGCCTTATCTGAAACTCAGAAATGCTACTACTATGTTACAAGATAAATGATTTAGAAGTGAAAAATCTTCAAAACATTTGGCAACTTGACATATTGCTCAGGAAACTACTCAGAAAATTGTCCTTGAAGTATCTTCTAAACTACAACAAAAGCTTAGACTAAATCCCAAGCACAATCATTTCATCCATACTAAGGACTTCCATATTCACACTTCTTCTGAAACAACAATTTCTGAAGCATCAAGAAACCAGCCACTCATCTGGTTCTAAATTTGATTGCAATTCTCTGACATTTAAATAGTCACCTTAGCTAAAAGGATTATAAAGGTTTGAAAAAATTCTTACCATGCTGACTGAACAAACATTCAAACGCTCCCTCTTTTAGCCTACACCAGACTGAAAGTGAATGCCATTGCTGAGAGGGAAACAAAAATAAAACTGAAAAAAAAAACCCTATACTTTTTTGCTTTATTTCACCATAGAATTTTATTGAAGATAATGAAATTATCCTTCTCATGAATGCTGACATAATTTGCAGTGTAAATAAACCTACTTTCAGAAGGTGAAAATTCACACAGCTGAGAAAAAAAGGAAATCATCCTACTTTTTCTCCTTCATGACTAACCTGCTATGCAGCTTTCCAATGCTCTTACTAACAATAGCAGACAGGAAGAATGCAGTTCAGCCTAGTTTATGTTCAGGAGCACTGATTTCCTATAATTAATCCTTGCATACAGCATCAAGCCAAAGGAGCAGCAGGGGAAACAATGGAAGTCTTCCATGTGCGTAATAATATTGTTTCTGTCCTCTGAAGATTGTGTCATTAGACAATCTCAATATAAAGACAACTTCAGGAGATAAAGAAAACTAGTGATCTCTGTCTAGAGTAAGAGTGAAATTACAGAACATTTGTGCCACATTTATCACCATGGAATGATTTCTCCCAATTTGTTCCTAGAGATAAATTAAGGCAAAAAAAAAAAAAAAAAAAAAAAAAAAAAAAAAAAGTGGATCTGAAAGGTTTGTAGAAAGGAAATTCTCTAGGCTTTTCTTGAGTTGGTCTTGGCACTTGTAAGCATCTCTATCTCCATACAGGTTGCTGACAGAAAAAGAAGAAAGTTTTCATTTTCCCCGCAGATAATCTATATATTGTCTCGGTGCCATACATTTTTATTAGGACTATCATCATAAAACATGCATCTAAGATGAGAAAGAACAAAAGAGAGAGAGCAGAACAGAGGAAAGATGTTCTTTGATTAAAATACTGATTGAAATTAGGGAAATCAGGGTTAATCTCTATATTTCATACATACCTCCCCGTACAACTGCAGATTCCGTGATCTACCCTTTTTTTCTTTTTAGCATAATTGTCTTATATAGTAAGCATATGAACTCCTAAACATTAACATAAGATTTTCAGTCAGATTTTGCTTGCACTAGATTTATATGGGGAGTGGGCTCATCGGTAACGCATAAAAGTAATAATAGTTGGCCAGAGAGGAAACATTAAAATGAGAAGAACAGAAAAGTATGTTTAACTCAATTGCTTTATGTACAGACATGCATCTAAAATAGTTCTCATGTTTTACACATGCAATCAAAACGTATTTTAGCAAACAAACAAACAAAAAAAAGGCATGCAAACCAACGTATCTAACCAGTGTTAAATAATACGTTATGCATATGAACAAGAACATTGCCCCTCTAAAGCAACACATTTGTTCCTTTGCTGTATTTCTCATCCAAAGAAAGAATTCACTTTATGGAACAAGAACACTAACAAAAAACAATAAATAGACTAGTGAGATGCAAGCCCGATGAAACTGCACAACTCATGCATAGGAGAGTTAAGTGGTGATGACACACAGGCTGCACTACACCAAAGAGAATGGTCATAGCATACAATTAATGCATATACACAGTATTTGTTCCTTCTTCATATTCTTGGACCTTGAACCTAACCACTTTGATGTTTATTACTTTACCGTTTTACTAGTTATAAAATTAACTAATCTGTCCGCAACAGTTAGCATCTGTTATTTTAAGCAATCTTTGTGAGAAGCATGGAACATAAAATTTAAACTGCATGGTTGAAGTATAATGACAATTGCATGTAAATAAGCACAGAGACTCACCCGTGTAACAAAACACAACGTCCTGACCAAAGAATGTCAGGAGGCCATTTTGTCCTTGCTTACAGCACGTAACAACTGGAGATTATTGGGATTCCTCCCAGTTTCATAATTATCCAGCATAATGTCTTAGGGGAACGCATTTGAAGAAGAGAGATCTTGATGGAGAGATAGGCACGTGTGAGTTGACTAATGGTAAATGACCAATGTATGGTTGATATACTCCAGACTCTATAGCCTTTTGATGTTGTTTGTAAGAATGAAGGCATCTACTTGTGTGTTTAAAATTGCAATAAACCCCCTAATTTAGAGTTGCTTCTTTCAACATTTCTAAATGCAGGAGGCTAAAAGCTTCAAAGTAACCAGCTTCTCTCACAGAGATCCAAGGTTAAGCAAATAAAGTTCCTAAAGTCTCACTAGCTACTATCAGCAATAAAAAAAACAAAACCAAAAAACCAACCAACAACAAAACAAAAAAACAACAGCCATATAATGATAGATACAGCCACATAAAAGCAACCAGACTGAAGAAAACTGGGACAGCTTATCAAACTGAAGGGAGTAAAGAAATACCTGTTCAACATCAATTCTGATTCAGAATCTTTATCCACTTCTTTACTTTTGTTTCCTTTTAGCCTAAGAAAGGCACAAATAATTGGTGTGTAACTGGTGTACAACAAGTTCTAGTTATGACATTAGAAGTGATTTAATTTCTGAGGTGTAGAAAATTTAAAAACTTGTTTAAATTATGCAAAAATTAAGACAACCATAGTATTACACTACCATCACCGATAGCACTTTATTTTCTAAGGACATTCTCAAAACCTGCTATAAACACCAATGCATGAGCCAGCGAGGCAGCCAAATGTTATAACTTCTCTTTATAACTCAATTTGGTGATGAAGAATGAAGAACTAAGACAAGAAAGAAAAAAAAAACACCTACTCAGGTCTCCTTAATCCCAAAGCCTCAGCTATCCTTCCCCAGTAATGGAGATCTCAAGCTAAGAACAAAAGGAAAAGTTTTGCGATGTACCCATAATAGGCTCTGCTGAGGAAAGCAGCTGAAGCAGAATGGAAAAACTGCCCAGGAGATAGCAGTGTAAACAGAGGTAAGAAGGCTCCTGCCTTATCTGAGGGAGAGGAAGAACAGCACAATATTTCAGAGTCTCAACTCTGCCAACAGGCTCAGGCCGGACAGCTCATCAGATCTGGTGCACTTCTACATGAACATTGCCAAAAATGCTGTAGGAAAGGACACAACGGTTGCACTGCTCATCTGGGTGAGCATGGGCAGTGACTGCCTCAAGTGACCCCAATACTGCCAGGGAAGAAAAAGAGAAAAATAGCACAAAACTTGACTCATCTTTCTTGTGTAGACATACCTCGTGTGCAAAGCAGGGGTTCAGCAAAGTGGGGCTCAAATTGAGGCTTAATCTCAATGGATTTTTGAGACCCATTCCACAGGTATTTTATTCTTTCAAGTTATTATTTAAAGATCATAAAATGGCATCTGTATTTAATTCAGTATTGCAGGTGTTTCCTGTGGGGACTTGCAAGCAGATGACTATACAGTGGGGATTTCTGGATTTTCTAGTTGCCCAGGTAATTGTGAAAAGTGACTGAAACATGAAAATTAAATTACATGACACAGCCACAAAATGCGTTGTTCTGTAAATTTCTAGAGATTTATCCCTTTCAGGAGCTGCTAGAATTCAGCATTTCAGGATGATGGCATATGCTTTCTTCCCCATTGCTCTAAGAGTTAATCATTAGACAATTACCAGTAATGGTCAAAATACTGAGAACAGAGGGAGCATTTTCTGTCAAAAGTCTGGGAAAATGACATAATGCAAAGTCCAAACTACATCAGCACAGGGAGATGAAAAACTCTAGTCCATTCCCACTGAGATAGCCTCAAAACATACAAAGCAGTTCCTAATTTGTTTGAGAATGCACTTCAGGTTTCATTTTAATAGTCACTAAGTACATGCAAACAGACATACCATAATTAAGGTGATCAATCTGCAAAAAAGAATGCACATAAAAAGAACAAGAAGGCACATAAAAAGAACATATACACTTAGAAGAGTTAAGTAATCATAATAATAATTATTAATTGCATTATAATTAATAATTATAAGGTCATAGATGCCTGGCTGTTCTTTTGCAAGCAGCTTAAAATCATTTCCAGGTACTTCTTTTAGTTATGCAACAGAAAGGTATTCCTGAAACAGCTTTAGAGCAGCAAATCCCATTTCAGTTAAAAAAAAGTATACTTTTTTTCCACAGAATAGCAAACCCCAACTGGAGCATTTAACTATCTCACAGTAAGATGCATTATGACTGAACCTTGACAGACCTGGAGATGAGGAAACATTCTGTAATGAAGATTTTAATTATTTGGGTTTTCGTTATGATTAAATTGGAAGCTAAATTAATGTTGTGCATGCATGTAAATAAGTAATGTTCTATGCTAAATAATTACAGGCAAGTACGTATAACGGGTTTTCTGGGTCAAAAAACTTTTTTTTCCCACCAGTTCTATTCTCAAACACTCTTGGAGGCAGGCACTGCAACTGCTAACTTAGAGAAGGGTAAAGTAAGCACCAGGTTTACAAACTTGCCCAAAAGTCACTTGGAGGCAATGGCAGCATGGAGAGCAAAGCCTGACTCCGGCTCTCCAGTCTGTTTTGCTGCCAGTGGGCAAGAACTCACAACAAGGTCTGCTGCAGAGTATCAGAGGTGGTACATTTGTGTCATGCTGACCCAGCAGCATGCAGAGCCACTTGTATGTGCAGGGCAGTTGAGCAAACACCACTGTTTCACCCTCAATGGCTGGAGGAACGGGGTTGTGCAGGGGCAGCATGAGAGGGGAACTGGCTCTCACAGATAGTACCCTGAAATGGATTTTATAAGATGAATGCCAGGATAAGATGAACACAAGTACTCTATGTTGCGTATTTATCCAAATTAAAGACTGCGATGCCAGGAAGTTCTCCATCTATCTATCTAAATGAATAAACAGATGATTTTGAAATAAAATAACTATACTATCACAGGCCTAAAGTCTTTTCTCCATCTCACGCATTATAAAAACAAACAGGAAAATAACATTTTTACATATTCATCTGCAGCTCCAGCTTTTTCTCTCATGAAGTCATACAAGCATATAATACACTTACATCACTGCCAAAATTCAAGACCTATAAATAAGGCTACAACTTTTTAGTTCAAATTGAAATATGGGATTCTATTGAAAAGACAGGGAGGAAAATGGAAAATGTAAAAAAAATAAACCATGTCCCTTCTTTACAGGCATTGTAGTATGGTTAGACAGTAACCAAATGATGTCAAAAAAGGAAAAAAGAAAATAACCAGAGAATTATGATTTTGGGATGAGGATATAAACAGCAGGAACAGACGAGCAGTTAAAAATAAAGAGCCTATTATATTCAAATGAAACAAAGAACGAAGAAAGAAAATAATAGACTATAAAAACGTATCTGTTAGCAAGGCTGTTTGGGGACTGAACGTTTTCCCTGTGAGGTTCTCAGGAAGTACCAGGCACCCTCCAGGTTTAAAGCTTTCATCCCTGGGCTCCCAGCTATATTGGTTTCCTGTATAAAAGGAATTGAGACGAGAAGAAAACATTTGACCAACTGCCCCGGCAATCATACAGTGTTTTATACTTTGTGGAGCCTGGCCTAACACAACAAAACTGAGTATTGTTACAGAGAACTCAAAGAGTCCAACCAATTACATCCCTTCATGGGTTCGGCTACACTCGCCTTTGATCACCAGCTCTAACTACCAGCAGTAAAACAAACAAATCTGCAGACAGCATCAATAAACCTTGCAGTGGGAGGGAACAGAGATACTCTGTGCCATGTTGGCTTTTTTTTTTTTTTTTTTTTTTTTTTTTTTTTCCAAAATCCCCAGCAAAAATATCTACTGGCTGTCCTCCACAACTCACAGGCAGATTCAAAGCCAGAGATGAGTGCCTTTTCTCACTTTTAAAAGCCAGCCAGATGGCATAAAGCAGAATATTTAGTATGCATATTTAGAAAAGTCTCTAACCCAGGCAAAATCCAGTATGCTAATTACCAGGAATTCCTCTGTGCCCTTATTAAACTCTGGGTTTACACATACATACACATGTAATACACATGTCCATCCGTGACACAATAGGTGGTAGAAACATTTCCCTTTTTACTTCGGTGTTTGCTTACTGTGTCCATTCCCCCCTGAGGAACTTCCTGCTAAACACAGACTGAAAATGGCTTCTATCTGTGCTAATACTTCACCATAATCCCACAGTGCAGTACTTAGGCAGTGAAGTGGTTTGGGGTGACTGCATGTTGAACATTGCTCACCTCACAGTGTAACACGGGCTTTGTGTTCCCACAAGGCAGAAGTTCAACAAAGCAGACCTCCCATACCCAAGCAGCCTTTTCAAGCTTCGAGGCAGCGCTTCAGCATAAAACCACAGTGGTTTTCATCATTCAGAACAGACAGGTTGAAAGCAGAGATCTGAACAGAAGATTAGGAAAGGCAGTCTGGTCCAGCAGCTAAGCCACCAGCCTAGGACACACAGATCCCATCTCTGCCTGCAACACAGTCTGCATCCAGGCACAAAATCACAACAGCCTCAAGCTTTAGAAATATACAGAGCCTGTATGACCTTGAGACCATCTAGATTCAGGCATCAAACTACCTTTGAGGGTCTGAGGCTTGTTTACTTTGTGCTGCAATCACTGTCTACACAATAAGAGATAACATTTCCCTATCTCACAGAGAGAACCGAATGCCCAGTATGATCAGGACACCCTGCACACTAAGCTAGGTGCTACTTTGCTTTGGAAAGGCAAGAAAGCAGAACTGAGGCTTCACATCAACCTCATAACTAACCTGAGAGGGAAATGGTCTGAGTAAAAGCAGGGGACTGCAACCTCACAGACAGGCGAAAGATGAACTAAAATCCTATCTCTTATCCTTATATTTTTGGGCAGATATTTCTTAATAACCAGTGGGTGCTAACTGAGCTCTGTGCCCACTGTTTGCTTTGTCTGGCACATGATTCAATCCCTGCCACAGTGTAAAGCACTCGATTCATTTAGCTGACTCTCCCCAACTGGCAGAGCCAGTCCTCCCTCCCTCTCATCCAGCTCTGCTGCTTTACACACCTCACAGGGCATTTCGCTTGGGAGAAGTATTGCTCCCATGGCTGACTGGCAGAATTCCTGTCTCTCATGTGTAAAATACAGGCAAGACAATGATTTTTTTTTCTTTTAACCACAACAACCAGAAAATAAGGATTTATTTAAAAATTTCCATGATCTCTTCATGTAAAGGTTTGCATGCTATTATTTAAATAAGTCTCTAGCAGCCATGCCAATTCAAAACGTAGGATGGGAGAATATGGAGGAACATACCTTGCACGGCAATGGGAGGTAATTCTGAGTTGGGTTCAGCTTTCAGCTGACTATAAACTTGGCACGTTATCACCTATCTTCCCACTGCCCCTGCTCCCCTTGCACAAAGAATCACAAAATCGCTGAGGTTGGAAAATACCTCTAAATATCTCTCAGATTATCTAGTCCAACTGTCCACCTACCACCAATATTGCCTGCTAAACTATGTACCTCACTGCCACATCTTTCTTAAACACCTCCAGGGACAGTGACTCCACCACACCTCCCTAGGCAGCCTGTTTCAATGTCCAACCATTCTTTGGAGTTTTTCCTAATATCCAACCTGAACTTCCCCTAGCACAACTTGGGGCCCTTTTCTCTCATTCTACCGCTATGATCCAGGTGGCAAATTACCCAGATCATCTTTTATCTCATCATTTGGTTTAGCTATTCAGAAGATAATCTGGGAAGTGACAAATTTATTTTACTGGGAGGATCTATGGCCCCTTGCACAAGAACATAGTGAGCAAACACCTAGACCATTACTATTAAAATACAGCCAAGGCCTTTTTCACTTAAGTAGTGCTGCTTATATCTGAATGAAAAAGTAAAGCATGCCAAACAGATAGCAAAAGCCAAAATACATGGGTGATAGCCAAGAAGGCAGCTCAAGCTTCCTAATTTACAATCTGTTAAATTCACATCTTTATACCATTTAAAAGATTCTACATAACTGTGGGAATACAAGAAAAACTGTTCAGAGCTGTAGCTGTGGAGCAAGATAAACAGCATGTAACTTCTAAGCATACCTCCATGACAAAAGAAGAAACAAAGCAATAAGGAGAAAAATAAATAAACCACAGAATGAAGATGGAGTAGAAATGAAAACTAAAGCCTTATGCAGAAATTGGGTAGGTCACACAGTATCCAAAGCAAGTATATATATACCTAAATAATTACATCCCTAAAATAAATTGGAAATGCAGTAGTGCAAGAGTGAGACACCAGATGAAATTGCATCTAACGTGCTGATTCATGCTAACGCAGAAAATCTGTTTGTTACTATACCGGTTGATGTCAGGCTGCATTTTATTCAAACCAATAAAATCTTTTGTGTGGTCTCTTGACCTCACTAATTACTTAATTTACATTTTAGACAATAATGCCGCTTAGTAATGTAAAAAGGAAGTGTTCCCACCCCGGAGTGTTATCCCTGCATCTCCTCTGAAGAAACTTTAGACTGGAGAATGCTGCAAGTGAATAGGAGTTCACAACGAACCAGCTCCTAATCATCACTCTTAACTGGTTGACCTATGGAGTATTTAAGGTTTTACATATCAATCGTAACCAGCTTGCCCAGAGAAGGCAAAATCTCCAGTTATTCTGGATTTACATGATCCTACGGAGAAGCAAGTCTGTCCGAAGCACGCTTGGGGGAACCAGGATGCAATCAAAAAATATGCAGACACTTTTCATTTAAAACTCTTGCATTTAAAACCCCGAAGTCACCTCCACGGGTGTGGTGGTCAAATGCCAGTACAGTACTTAAAGGAACAGAGGCTGGGACCACTGTGCAGCATTATAATCTCGCATCTTCAGCAAAACCTTACTGTTCTAAACCTTACTGTACTACAGACAGAAACTGCATAGCCTGGATAAAAAACATGATGTCCTTAAAGCCATTCTATCTTTCTCATACCAGAGTAAGCTTCAGAAGAAGCTGCTTCCATCTACTTTCTAATATCATCTTATCTATACATAGTATCTCTCACCTGCAGAGCCTATAATCCTTTCCAAAATCTATGCTGGCATTACTACTGTGGCACAAATGAAGAATTAAATACACAGAGATGGAGTTGAAGCCAGTAGCCTGGTTTTTCAATTCCCTGTTTTCCTTCCAGTCACTATAAAGTGTTGTGCTGAGATAGTACATATAATAGTATATATTATTAAATTATTATTGCCACTTTCGGTGATATTTGTAGAGTCATGGCAGTCAGGTGAAATCCCTGGTAACTAGAAAAAAGGCTAGACACACTTGAGGGATGGGACACCATCCAGAGAGACCTGGACAGGCTTGAGCAGTGGGCTGCCCAAGCGAACACCATGACGTTCTACAAAACCAAGTGCAAGGTCTTGTGTCTGTGTTGTAGCGACCTCCACTATCATTATGAGCTGGGGGATGTAAGGATGGAGCACAGCTCTGCCAAGAAGAATCTGGGGTTACTAGTAGATGGGAGGCAGGACATGAGCCAGCAGTGTACTCTCACAACCCAGAAAGCCAACAGTATCCTGGGCTGCACCAAAAGCAGCATGGCCAGCAGGTTGAGAGAGATAATCCTGTCCCACTCTTCTACACTGGTGAGGCCTCACCTGGAGAACTGCATCCAGATGTGGAGTCCTAAGCACAGGAGAGATGTGGACCTGTGTAGAGTGCATCCAGAGGAGGGCAACAAAAATGATCCAAAGGACAGAACATCTTGCCTATGAGGACAGGCTGAGAAAGCTAGGGCTGTTTAACTTGAGGAAGAGAAGGCACCAGGGACATCAGATAGCGGCCTTTCAGTATCTAAAGGGGAACTACAGGAAAGATGGGGACAGGATCTTTAGCAGGGTCTGTTGTGATAGGACAAGGGGAAATGGTTTCAAACTAGAAGAGTGGTGATTTAGACTAGGTATAAGAAAAAAAACATTTTTACAATAGGGGTGGCAAAGCACTGAAACAGGTTACCATGAGAGGCAGTGGACACCCTGTCCCTGGAGACACTCAAGGTCAGGCTGGATGGGGCTCTGAGCAACCTGATGTATCCATAGGTGCCTCTCTTCAGTGAAGGAGAGTTGGACTAGATGGCCTTTGAGGTTTCCTTCCAACTCAAACTATGTTTTTGAATTGTTTGTACTTGCATTGGAAACAAGACTTGGACATGTTACATTTGCTTTTTATTTCTGCTCTATATTGAGGAAATGTTCCTCAGATGGTTCCTGGGAGCCAACTGATCATAACGATGAAACTCTTTCAAATTTGCCAATTCCTGGATTTTTCTGGTTGTTTCTTTTTCCTGCTCATATGATGCTGCATTCCTCCACAGTCACAGAGCAAATCCCACTGTAGCATATAGAGGAATGTTTCCTTCAGCTTACAGCATGCAACTGCGAACATATTTCAACTCTCAGAGGTGCCAAAAGCAGCTCATACCATATGAGTGAAGAGGGCTCAACCCTTTTACAAAGGAGACCATGAAGTTCCCACCCCTACAACTGTAGTTTTTCCCCACTAACAACCCAGATTATAAAAAGTTGGGGAAAATTTAATACATTTTAAGTTACTCTGGTTCACAAATTTAGCAAAACTGCAGAGAAGGCAAGTAAGAAGCAATTGTTACCTTGGATACAAAAAATAAGGTACATGTAGAGAATTTTTAAAAGAGCACATACCATAAAACACTGGATAAGACTGAAACCTACTACAGTGGGCTTTTGCAGAGACATTCAAGACAGGTCTTCGTCAGTTCAGAAAAACTCCTTGTAGAATAAGTCCCTTGGTAACTATTATCACTTGGATGCCACTTACAGCACAGAAGTCCTGCTTCCCTGCAGCTGTGAGGGTGTCCATATAAGGCAGTGCTGTGCACACCACACTTCCTGCACTCTTTCTATATCTGCTATCCCATCAGATAGAATATAGGGTAAGAGGGTTGAGATGGATTTTCAGTTAGGAACACTACAGTTTTTCTGACCAAAGCACATTTGTATTGTCATTAGTTGTGTTTGGTCAACACATCTATGGAGACTGCAAACACAGTGTAATTTTCCTCTAGTGTGTACACAGAGCAAGGCACAGCAGTGCTCCTATCATGATTGCAGCCTCCTGATATTTCTGCAGGGCAAACACAGTAATATTAACAATTAGTCATTGACTCAGATAAGGCTCTCAAAGTTATATATTCCCCATTCAAATCACTGAGGTTGCATGGTGGTATAAAAACCTCTGACAGTAAGTTATAGCACTCTTCCATAACCCCAGGATACATGTTCCCACCTTTTCACATGGCCAGGACTAACACTTACTAATCTGATCTCCTAGGAAGAAGGTTCACAGAGCTCAGCACTTCTTTTTCAGGTTACTTTCTGGCTGGATCAGTTCCCTGGAACAGTGCAATGGAGAATCATGTGAGCACTGGTGCTGGTGTAGAAGAAGGGATAATATTACTGCATGTGGGAAGCAGAGAAAGAATGAGATTGGTGCATAACCTGATGTGGCATATGCCAGAAAGCTTGATTAAAAGGGAAAGCTTTGACCATCATGAACCAAAGGGTAGTCACAGCCTTGGTCTGAAGTTCTCTGCAAAAATCCATAGGAAAAAAAAATGCATAACCAAGCTGTGAAGAGAGGGAAGATCAAAGTTCTCCAGTAGGCATGTGTTTGGCAGATAGTGATAACCCCCGGGCAATGATAAAGCAAGAGCAACTGCCAGAAATAAACTGCTACACACAGGAGGACTCCTTCCAAACACCTATGCTCAGCCCCTAAAAATTAAACATAATTTAGTGATCTCTGACAACCCCTTCATCTCAGGTGCTGCTCCCCCACAGGAGGAACCTAGGGGCAGGAGCCAGCTGGGAGGAGTCGCTGTGCTGCTCAGAGGTTCCTGTTGCACACAGAACTGACCAGCAAGACACTACAGGAGACCAACTTCTCTCAGATATTTTCAGCAGTACTGCAGCTATATCAGGCTCCAAGTACAACCCTTTTGCCTGCAAAGCCTTCACATGGCCCTAAACACCAGCTGCCCCAAAAGAAAATTGAATGTAATTTTATTGGTAGGCTTCTCAGAGAAGCTTTTCATTTTTAAGATATACATAAATTCATTTGGTTATCAAAATGTACCTCTTAACAGAAATGGCCATCAAGAGTAGAGAGTAGTGAAAAGCTGTAATAGCGAGCTGCAATTCGTATTTACCAGAATACTCAGAGCTGTTTAAAGAAAGGTTCAAGCACAGGTAATTCCTCTCTTACACAGAGCTGAGTCTAACTAGCATTTCAGGAGAAAACCTGCCCAAAACATTTGCAAGCAGTCCCACAGTCAGAACAACAGGGAATAAATAAGTTTCTCTAGACAAGAGGCTTGTCTCCTAGCTGCAGATAGTTTGGGCAGTTTCCAGCAATGCAAGGCAGAAAGTGCAAGGTTCAGCAGGGTGCTCTGGAGATGGGAAACCAACCAAGGTCAGTGCCAAACAACTGTGATGATGTTTTCCAGGGTACCTACCTTAAACCTTAACATAACTTTCAATTTAAACTGATCTACATTGGTTGTATGTTATTATGAACAGCCAAAGTTGCTTATCCTGGGAAGATTCCCTAGCTAGCTTTGGCTCAGGCTCATTTCTGAGCACAGGGACATGAGGACCAGAGTTTGACTGTAAATTGTATCTCAACAGCTATCAGTCAGAAAGCTACCATACTACAGAGTCTGTTCCAAGCAGTTAAAATTTTCCCCCTCAAACAACTCAAGTTAAATTTCTCTCATAGGAAAAAAAAGTAAAAAAAAAAAAAAAAAAGTAAAATCAAGGAAACACTGACACGTTGTCAGATCAGGCAGATTTCACATTTGCAAAGCCCCAGATCTAAACCCCAAGTAATGAAAAAGACTGGATCTCCATGCTTTGTCTTCTCGGAAATCAGTGTCTTTCCTATCATGTACATTTATTTCAGGTAAGAACTTAGGCATTTTCTAGTGGAGCAAGATTATACAGAAGCACAGCAACCCCAGGAGAGGCATGGAGACTAGGTAGCCTGAGCCTGTGTATCTTAGCTAGGCTAATTATCAATTGCTTGGCAAAGATGCAAACATATCATAATTCTGTGGCACTTTTGCCTTACCCTGTAACGTCAGCAATCAAGGATGACCACAAGAAGCATGCCAGGCATTTCCATTCAGCTGCTAAATCTGAACAATTTTGCTTACAGAAAGTCTGCCAGTTATAAAAATAACTTCATTCCAGTTGGTTAGTGGCAGGGTGAGGGAGTCAACAGGACATCAGTACTGCTGTCCACACAGAAACATCATGCTTTTGCCAAGAACATTTAAAAAAAATCTGGATAACACATGAGGAACACCTACAATTTTCTGTGCACGACCCACTGAATATATTGCTTCAGCTGATCTGAATTATATCCTGCATTTGCAGATTTATTTCAAAGAGCATTTATAAATACAAGAAGAAAAACCTGAAATGAGAGTCGTAATTTCCATAGTCTATCTTCTGTGAATAAAGGCTATTGCTTCTCTTGAAGACAGAAGAGATCACAGTGCTCATACCAATAATATACGAAAGTTAGCATCCAGCTCAGGTCAGATCAGAACACATGCTAAAGCTTGACAAACTTTTCAAACTGGCAGCACATTTCAACTTCTGTAAAGCCCACGGCTTCCTAAAGCAATGGCTAATTAATCTAATCACAGACACTCAAATGTCAAACTTGCCACAAATGACTATATTGGGACAACTGTATAATACCTGGCTCTATCTGATGTCTCTATCCTTATTACTCTAGTTATTCAGCGTAACAATTAATAGTACAACAAAGTCGGAAGAGTACCGAGGATGGGCTGGTGTATTAAAATGAAAAAAAAAGAAAAAAAAAAAGAAAAAAAAAGCATGTTTAACTGTTAAAGTTTAAGGGCTATCCCTTAAATTGTGACCAGAGCAAAGGTGTGTGGTCCATACGTTTGCTGATCAAACATGGGCAGAGGGACCTTCACATGACATCTCTTTTAGCTGTCTGAAGTTTTGAACTACATCTTGTAAGGTCCTCAACTATCATTTTACAGGCTTAGTTGGCAAGTTTGTACAAGGAGGCCCAGTTCATCCAAGTAGATCTTTTCCCAGGCCACAGACTATCCCATCATATTCACGCTGCATTGTACCAGAGCCTTTTCAAGGCCAGCTCGCATAAGTATTGCACTTCTCTGTGCAGCCAGATTAGGGTTGAAGTATTTGTACCTAGTCTACCTAAGAGCACAGAATTAAAAATGAATTTCTGCAGTTTACTATCTACAGAATTTACATGGACATCTACATGGAAAATGGCTTGAACTTACATTATAAGCAAAGAAAGCCTTCCAAATGTTTTACCCATGTGTCTTCTGAACAAAATAGAAAATGAAGAAAAATGCATGCAAGATGGAGATTAAATTACAAGAGAAAAAGACACAGGAAGGTCAGAAAGACTAATGGTGAAAATCTAGTATCTTTTTCTTTTCTTAACTGCTGATATTAATTACTGTTCACACTCACTGAATCTGTGAACATACTACAAAACGTTCTCCTTCACACTTTAAATAAATTAGAACATAGTTCTCTGCCAAAAATTCTTGGGTCACCGTATGAGGCAAAGGTCTCAGTCATGACCTCCAGCACAATACAGCTAAATTGAACTTGGCTAGCTGATGTGAAACAGAGCTTCAAAAATGTTTGTTACATGAGCTTCAACAAAGTCATGATAAATGCTTCTCAGAACTCAACTAAAGGACAATCCTGGACCATCCCGTATGTCCAGTCTAAGGAAATTTACCATCCATTAACAGTTTTCCTACAGGCACAATATTTCTTCTTCGAACATGGTGCCTTATGATAGTTATTGGAGACTGGGAATAAACGTACCTTCACCTTGATGATTTATTTTCCTTCCCAGTAAGTTCTGATATGACCTTCATCATTATTGTGCCACAGTGACTCACAGCAGAGCATTACAATGCAGCCAACATCTATCACGTGCTTTGCTCTTTTTCTGAATGAATTTGGAGTCGTGTGCACGCATTTCAATCTCTTATTTTACATACAACTGGTTGCTTATGATAATAACAGCAATGGTGCAGCTTGTGCACCAAACTAACAGCAGTTCCTGTTTTACAGTCCTGTATTAAGACCCTCCTGGTGCAGTTGCGTGAATCACTCTAGCAGTTCATCATAACCAAAAGCATCATATCCTGCGCTCCAGCCCTGCCCTTTCTTCTCCATCCCAGTCATGTTAATGCACTCTTTCTCTTGCACCAAACTCTGATGTTCACCAGAGCCTTCACAGAGCTGATTCAGTTCATTAACCCAGGAGCAAACAATTCGCTTTTTTGTCACGTTAGTTTTCTTCTGGGCCAGTGAGTTGAATCCATTTTGCTCACTGCTGACAGGCACTAGACTTGCAGCTGGCAGCCAGGAGAAGGGAAGTAATGAAGATGGGGTGCAGGCTGTCCATGATCCAGAAAGAGTCATCACCAGCAGTAACATGCTGCTTTACTTCAGCAATCTGACTTTGACCAAAGAAGGTTTCTTGGCAGCTGAGGAGCAAAACCTCTCCTCCTTGAGCTCTCAGCAGCTGCTCACAAACCCTTACTGCAGGCCATTTGGGATTCTGACAACCAACAGAGAGACTTTGAATCTAACCTAATACCCCATGGAAAGCCAAGGCAAAAAGTTTTGATGCACTCCCGAAAGCTGCTATCGCTGGAGAAATACACACTGCAGATTTCTGACTGTTTCCTAATGGATAACAGTTTTAAGCTATTTCATCACCTGCAACCAATTTGGAGAAAAAACACAAAAGAAACACAGTTCTGCACAGACCAATTGAGAGACACCAGAAAGGCACAAAGTTTGAGATACTCTTAATCCTGAAGGTCTTCTTCCTACGCATACTACAGGTTGCCTGCCCCTCCTTGATCATTCCTGCTTCTTGCCAGCTTTCTACACAACTACTTCCCATCTGCTGCTTCTTCCTACACAGAGACCTCTGTACATAACTCTACAGCCTACTCATTTTATAAAGCCTCTAAAAGCATTCTTCTGCCATACATGTTTACAAGAAATGAACTGCTAATAAATGTCTGAGAGTAAAAAAAAAGCTAACACTTAAATATGTCTAGTGTATTTAATATCACTCTTTCCCTCCTCTCCCGTTCGCTGCACGCCAGGGCATAAATTTAAGCTGCACTGGAGCTCAATTCCTTTGACTTGTTTGGAAATCTCATTTTAAGGTGCAATGCTTTAATACACCGGAGGTTCACCTAATTCCATCCAGTTTATTTACAAGAAAAATCACACATCATTAAACCCAACTCCATGTGAGCCGACACTCCCTTCCAACAAT